TTTCAAGGCCGCACTTTTTCTATCCAAGCGTTTTCTGCCTCGCGAATAAGGGCTGTGTACCGAGTAAAAACTTTCAACTGATTCGTTCATCGCTTATTCGTTTCAGCGTCAAAGCCGATAGAAGCGTTAAACGAACCCAAAATTATAAACACGCCATTACACGTTTTGGGGAATACAATTACCGAGATTCGTACAGCCTTGGCGGTGCAGGGACGATGAAGTCATTTCATTTAATTTCTTAACGCCTTCGACGCGCATTCAAATGACATGGCCCCATGGCTAAAGTATAGAGGAAACAAAGAAAAAAAAAAACATTCCCTCTTTTTCGGCGACGTGGAGTTGCCCTATTTACGTTACCGAAATGCGTGACGTTAGGGAGTTTTCGGGGATCGTTTTCGCCGTCCCGCAACGCCCTCCGCAATCCGCTACGATACCCGGAACTCTACAGTCAAGGCTATCGGCGCGCAGGCGCAGTAGCAACTTCTCCGTTGCGGAGGGTTTAGCGGAGGGGGAAACGCGGTCTACGAAAACTCCCTATTGCTAAAGTATAACGCCGTCGAGAGGGTCAATATTCTTCAGCTGGAAGCTATAATAAGCACGCAAGTCTTTTAAGAGACGTCTATTTTATATTTTCGGAATACAGGCGGGTTAATCGAGAGGCGCGGGTATGCTTAAGGAAAATACACAAAATGGCGAGCTCGTGCGGCCAGAAAGTTCTATAAAATGCGTCTGTATATTGAGCTTCGGAACGCAGAGAGAGGCAAGCCTTATCAAAGGGCCAACAATTATGCCGCACACAGCTGTTCTCCCCTCACGAATACACACACGACGGTACGAACGAACATTTATTTCGACCTGCAAATTTCACTCGCGTGTTTGGTTCCGCTAGAGGTATATATATGCGCGAACGAAGCGATTTATTTACGTTTCCCGAACGCAGCGAGTTTGCGTTATGATATATTATGCATTACGTACGTAGGAACTTATGATCAATCGTACGCATTCATCGCCAACTCGTTAGTAATTAATAACGAGCCGGCAATTCACGTGTGAGCAGATGAATCGGTATACGTTCGCATCGATTCATTTTCGTAGTCCAAAATGGCGACTGAGTCTAACGTGTTCTGCTCGATATGTGAGGTGTAATTTCTTCAGCCTCAGACCCCCAAAAAATTATCCCCAACAAATTGTAAAAAAAAAAAAAAAAAAAAAAAAAATGGCAGCGACTTTTATTTTGAAAGTTTTAGAATGCATGAAGTGCATTAGAAGGAATGGCAGAGGGAATGAGTGTGTCCCGTGACGTATATTTTCCAGCTAAACTTAGCGGGGAAACTGAATAATTGTACAGGTCACGTGACGTCAGGTCACGTGACGTCGAATTGCCCCGCTAAATTTTGCGGGGAAACTGAGTTTTGGTGTCGGTCGTAAGACGTGAATTTTCTCGCTAAATTTATCGGGTAACTGAATTGGTGTACGGAGAGGTTACATGACGTCAATTAACCTAAGGTGCATAAGTAATGTGACGTCATGAGACGTCACGTGACGCCAGTTTCTTCGCTAAATTTAGCGGTAAATGTACGCATGGACGGACAACATTGGGATTGGGGCATAGCGCTAAAAAGCATTTCATGCTTTAATAATAATAATAATAATAATAATAATAATAATAATAATAATAACAATAATAATAATCTTCAAACGAAGCATGTGCATCAATCAATTCATTTAACCTTCAGCGCCAGGGTGCACTATTGCAGGAATGTGTCGAATGTGTGAATGTGCACAAATATGTGTAGAATTACACACAGAAGTATCGTAGACGAGTTTTATTTTTGCGGGCTCGAGATTTCGCCAAGTTGCAACCGTGTAGTTTGGGAAACATTTCGCGGACGCGGAAAGTTCGGAGTTGGGAGTGATATGCTACGTTTTCGTGGGCACGAAACGATGCATTCGCATGATCAGTTTTTTCGCGACATTTATTCAGATGGTGAAATTCCGAAATATTAGGTCCTCGCCAAAATGAAGCTCCTTGCAGTATCCGCGGATATATATATATATATATATATATATATATATATATATATATATATATATATATATATATGCAAAAAAAAAAGAAAACGTGCATACAAGTACGCAGAAATATGCGCCGAGAAAGAGCGGGAGAGGAGGAGAGGAGAGGGACAAAGAACGCCGAGCTCTGAGTGGAACGATTAGTGGGTAGACCTAAAGCTATAGCTCCCTTTGTCTCCACTAGACTCGTCGAACGCCTTAGAAAGCGGAATGCCAAACGCCGGACGCCGGCGTTCCGCGAGCGAGTGCGCGCTCGAGGGCTGACGACCGGACACACCACTCCCGCGGAAGACAAAACAAGAACAACAACGACATTGTTCGCTGTTTTGGGGACAATTATTGCAGTATTATGATCCCTCTCCGCGAACAATTAACGCTTTTCGACTACTGTTATTCGCGGTTGTCATCTATAAAAGCCTACACATTTCGTAATACCAGCGTTCGCAATCTGAACGAAAAGGCGCGTTTTCATTGGCCTCGTGTCGTCCTGGCTGCCGGAGCAATGCGCCTCCCATCGCCGTAGATGAACTCGGTGCGTTCGATCTTTGATTGCTTTTTGTCGTAGGGGAATCGGCCGCAAATCTTTGTGTTTTATGAATTTCTAGGATGCTTAGAGTCCGCACATTGAGTTATCGCCATATTTAGGCGATCTCAGGAACCTCCTTAGGGCAGCTTTAACGTTAACTTATTGGAACTAAAACGGATACGTGCTCCTTTTCAACCGATACAAGTTGTAGCGGGAAAACGCGTTTCAAATAGTTGGAATCAAAGGGGAACAAGCACAGTACAACTGAGCTTCCGAAATCGTCGCCATCACCCAAGACTAAAAACAAATAGCCTGAGAGGAACACGCAAGACGGGTATAGACGAAGATTAACTCTAGCAGGATTACGATATCGGTTTTTGAGATTTGTGGCATCGCAGAAGGCGGCTTTTATCCGGACTACTAAAAGAAGGCTATTTTTTTTGTGGGGCTCGGCGAATCCGAGCTGTAAGACGGCTTGAAACAGGGAAAGACACTGTTTCCCCGGATGTCGGATCCCGGCTATTTAGAACTCAGGAAGGGGTCGAGAAGTTGCTTCGAATTTCGTGCGAGACGGAGATGACCGGGAAAGTATCGCCGAATTCGGCGCGGCTTTAGGTTAACAGGACATCCGGGAAGTCTTTTTGAAACGAGGCTGGCATTCTTTTGGGTAGCGTATATAGAGCGACTACGAGGTGTGATATCAGAGGCGTCAAAACCTGCTTGGGATCAATGTTTAAAAAACGATATGCAGGTTTTTTTTTTTTCGCTGTCGTTAATTGTAAATTTGCTGGAAACCTTTTCCTCCCCAAATATACATAATACTTGAACATTTTACCAATGAAGTTTACGTAAATTTTAGCATCCTTTCTTTATTCGAGTCTAATCAGGGCGTCTCATTAGCGCTTGCATGTATGTTTGTGTGTGTGTGTGTGCGTGTGCGTGCGTGTGCGTGTGTGTGTGCGTATGTGTGTGTGTGTGTGTGTGTGTGTTATTAACTGAACGCAACCTCATACTGAAATGGTTTAGTTAAGGGTATCTTGCCCATACTGGCTCTAGACTTTGGTGTTCCCTATTCTGTACCACGGGTTCTGAGGCACATTTTGATCACACCTGTAGACGCGTCGAGCCTCTCTCAACCAGGTGCTTCGAGAGAGCTAACGATCGACCTCTGTGGAGTGTTACCGGCCTCCAGCATTACCAAATGATTCTTCGCCTCCCAACGCGAGGTGCTTAATAAGTAGAATCAATCGATCCATTCTATTTACATATACTTGTACACTATGGAAAAGTACGGTCCGACTAAGAGACACTGAGGAGTGCTCAGACAAGTATAACAAAAGCTTGAGGAGAAATCGTTAGACCTCAGATCACCTAGCTATGCGTGCACTTCCCTCTTTCGATTTCTCCTTTCGGTGATGTGGAGCAGAGACTCTGGAAGGCAGTGAAACATCGGTGCACGAACATTGCAGTCGCATACATCTTTACCATAGAACGAGTTTGTTCTGGGCATTTCAGGATGGGACGGATATGTTTTTCCATCTTTGTATATATATATATATATATATATATATATATATATATATATATATATATATATATATATATATAATAAATAACACGAAGAAAAAAAATAATTCCATCGGCAACAGGCAACGTTTTACACACGCTGTTCCCAGCGCTCCCATAATATTACCGACCTTGGCTTGCCGCACATTTTAAGAAAAAAAAAGTTATTACAAGACGCAAACAATCACCGGAAAAAGGTGATTTCGTCTGCTATCTGTTTTGTTTCCGCGTTCTTTCGTTTGTTCGTTTGTTTTTGCGGTGCGGCCTCGCTCTCATCGCGTTCACTGGAGACTGCGATGGCCGCGATGGGTGTTTTCTGAACGTTCAAATGTCAAATACTGTAATTGCGAGGCGCCCTTCTTTGTTCCTGGACCACCGGGACGGAAGGTAAACGCCAATTGACCCGCTTTTTAGCCCAGTTTATGTCGTCCCTCGTTGAGAATTCAGGAGCGTTAGGCAACAATGTATGACAAAAAAAACAAAAAACGCTGCAGCTTATTCTTTTAAATGTACGACTTTATAAGGCTCACCTCTTACCACTTTCGTGTTGCTGGCACGTCGCCTCGATGGTGACGTCGCGCTGATGACGTCAGGGTGCTCACGTGACGTCATCAGCGTGACGACCGTCGCATGGCACTCTGTGACGTCACACGACACTCTGACGTCAGGTTACACTACGATGTCACGTGACACCGACATCATGGAGTCACGGGGTGTGGCGTCATGTTAAACCGACACCGTGATGTCACACGGGATCTATAAATGGGCTTTGTGATGTACCCGAGAGACTCCGCGTAGGTTTTCCGTTCGGTAAAATCGTACCTCGTTGGTGCAGAGAGGAGCTGAGCCCCGGGGGGTCTCCTTGGAACGACGGTGATGGCCTCTTGACAGCGGACGACTTCTAGTCCTCGGTCTCCGTGGACCGAGAGTCCGCCATGCGGCGCAACACCAAGAAGCTGCTGAAGCTGGTGACGACGGCGCTGCTCGTGGTGCTGTGCACGTCGCTGCTCTTTCGGACATTCGTGAGCTACCAGATGCTGGACTACGTGCCCGGAGGGTCCTTCCTGCCCAGGGCGCCCAGGGACGCCGCCAACGACGTCGCCGCGCCGCGGGTGAGTCGGACGATCCTTTCTTGCCGGAGATGCGCGTCCACCGCCGTTCGGCGACGGACGCGTGCCGGTTTCTGTGGATAGCGGTGGACGGCCGGTGGACGAAGGACGCCGGATTTCGGGGAGTGTGGATGGCGGACGGTGGATGACGGATTCGTGGATAGTGGATTGCGGATATTCTATCCATGGCTCGAGGATGTTGCATAACGGACGGCGGATGTGCCATATTTGTGGTTCACGGATGCCGGATTCGTGGACAATGGATTACTGATTGCGTGCGACGGATGGCCGGTTTTTGCGGTATAGCGGAGGCCGTGTTGTAGATTACCGATGACGTTGGTCGGATTGCAGAGTTGGGCGATGCGGATGTCGGAGTTGCAGACGGCGGATCCCGAATGGCGGAGCCGGGTTAGGGGTTATTGAAGGACGGACGGCGGCCCCTTCTGTAGATAAGGCATTGCTGACGGCGCATGGCAACTGTCTGATTCGGGGACTGTGTATTATGGATGTCCGATCTGTGTAAACGGCGATTTATGAGGGTCTGCGAGGGAGTCACCCGAGCTTATTGAAATTTTGGTTCTGCGAGTAGCCAGCTTGTGTGGAATGGCTATCCCGTCGCAGCGAGGGACACGAAGAGAGAGAGAGAGAGAGAGAGAGAAAAAGAAAGTTTAAAGATCGCCACTGCGGTTCCGTACCGCAGGAATGTGGAGGGGCCACGGCCTCGAAGGAGACAACAACGAAACCTTCAAAGGAAATCGTTAACGCCAAGAAAGGGAAGTTTCGCGGTTTCCCGGGCTTGCCTCTCGTCTGTCTTTAACCTCCTCCTCCTATTTTGACTGGCCATTAGTCTGCTAGCTCGGAAATACAAATTCTTTCTCTCTTTCTCTCTCTCTCTGTTTTTCCCACTCTTTCAAAGCTCGGGTCGCTCCGGCAGCCCGCATCGACTTGTGTCGTTTTGGGATAGCGGCGCAACGATTGTTTGCTTTTTCAGTTCACCATCATCATCGTTATCCTCATTAACGCTTTCATTCGCATAATTTCCTCTACAGGAGGGCGTTTCCTCGCGTATCAAACCGCTTGTATATACGGTTAGAAAGAAAATAGGATGAACTTGTCTTCGCCCTGTAAACGCGTCTTCAGTATACTTCGTGTCTATTTCAAACAGACATTCGAACGTCGTTCTGTATCGCTGTTTGTTCCGGGCGTGCCTCGTGTTTATGACGTCATGGCTTTCGTTGCTTCGCCTTTGTTTCCTCATTGTTCTTATGGCGTGAGGCCTTTATCTCATTGTGCTGTCCAGCGATGATGAGATCACCGGAGCTGGCAGCATCCTTTCAATCTTCAATAAAGTAAAAAAAAAAAAAATAGTGTGTATTTTGTGCGCATCGAGAAAGAAAAAAAATTGTTAAGTCGGACCACCATCTCATTAATTTCGCAGAGTACGAGCATTTCATTGTGCTGTCTAGTGATAATGAAATCACCGGAGCTGGGTCCGCCATTTCAACCTTCAATAAAGTATAAAAAAAATTGCATGTATTTTGTGCACATTAAAATGCAGAGGAAGAAATGGTTAAATCGGACCAGTATCTCATTAATTTATCAGACTGGGAGCAAACGAACATTTCTTCTTTAATTGTTCCGGTGTACTTCAGATTGACAGATTCTGCCGGCGTCTATCCAGTCCTGCAGCGTCATGCACTTCTTGATGCAAATAAACGTTATTATTCGAAATTAGCGATATTTACCGAGTTTGCGCAGCGGGAATCGAGCCCCGGACCTTTTTTCTAAAATCCCACCCCTAACTAAGGCATAGCAAACCGTAACGCACGCAGAATGCATGCTCGACACATATTCTGCGCTCCTCGGATAAGTTATAACGATGGAGACAACTTCAAATTTTAAGGCATGAAATGCTTTTCGTCCAAGGCCCAAAATACTCTCTGTCTGTCCATGCATTTCCCGCTAAATTTAGCGGCGAAAATTGGCGTCGCGCGACTTTGACACCAATTCAGCTTCCAGCTAGATTTGACGGGATAATCGATGTCACGTGAGCTATACACCAATTCAGTTTTCCCGCTAAACTTGGCGGGGAAATGACAACACGTAGTGCGTCGTCTGCTCCCTCCACTTGGGCCGATGTGGCGACATCGGCACCGTCGGTTTCGGGCACGAACTCGCTGGGCGATTTGAACGGAAGGACATCGTCGCGAGGCGGCTAAGGTACCACCTCCGTCATCTCGCACGAGGCGAGATGCTGGAAGATTTCCTGCCTCATACGTTGTCTAAGTTGACGGCAGGATCGTGCGTGACTCTTGTGGGACGAGGCAATTGCTGCTTACCCTATTTACCACCGACCGATCAAAACGACCCTACTCGGCGAGGGCGCCAGCTTCGCGGAGAAATACATGTCGCTTCGAAGGCGCCATACCAGTTGGCATCCCTTCGTTTATTAAAGCGAGCAGGGAAGCGGGCCGAGTCTGGTGAGGCAGCACGGAAGTGGCATCACTCGAGTATTTCACGCAGCGTATCGCATCGATAGTGGTGTGACTGCAGCATTGTCGCTAGACCGCGAAGAAACGCGTACGAGGATTCTGTGGCGTTCCTTGTCGCAAGAGCGAACACTAAACGAACGAAGGGAAGGCAGCGGCGCAGAGGAAGCTTGCGCTGGTCTCGAGGGGACGCGATTTTCCAAGCGAAGGCAAAGAGCCCAGAGAACACGACTGTACAATTTTCACATTGTCACACACAAACTACGACGAGAAAACGCTGTCATCGCTACGATTTTGTAACGCCGCTTGTCTCACTGGCGAGCACTAAACGAAGAAAGAGAAGTGATCGGCACCGCTTTCGTCGGTCTCGTCCAACGAGGCTTACGCGATCGTCCAGGCGGGGGGCACGTCAACGGCGACTAAGTTGGATTGCGACACGATTGCCGAATTCTCACATCGTCGCACAAAAACTACCTCGCACAAAAGCGGATACTGGCACAGCTCTGCGACGTCAACCTGAGTCACTTCGAGAGGTCGGCGTCTTTCGGCGAGAGCGACGTCGAAAGCAGCGCGCGCCGTGTTGAAAAAAATGGTTGATCCCTGGGGACGCCAGTGATGTCAAAGAATCAGTGGAAGCGACTGACCGGCAGGGTGTATCCAAGGTGGCCAACTGTGCTTTGGCTTTCTTCACCAAATCTTCGGTATTACGTTCTGGCCTAGGTAATCTGGAAGCTTCATAACCAACCACCAGGTGATTTTTGGTTATCGTTTCCGTCTAAGATAAGTTTTCTTGCGTTTTCAGACGAAATATTGATCTTTCAGAGGTCCTACCGCTACCCTCGCCACGTCGAAGCAAAGAGATGAGCTCCCGAATTTGGTTTCCGTACCCCTTTAAATACTGCATTCAAAAATTAAAAATAACGCCGTTTTTTTTTTTTTTTTTTTTTGCATTACAATTAAAGACGAAGCTACATATCAGCCTGGTGGAATGCGTCCTTGCGCGGAACAGTTTACGGGCATGCGTTAACTCGCGACAAGGCCACTCTGTCGCTTTCGGGCCAACAACTCCTACACGGATGCTGAGAGAGTCAGACGAGCCGATTTTGTGTTTCGTCCTTAAATGAAACGGCACAGTGTACACCGGTTTGAGCACCCGGCGTTCGTAAAAAGAAGTTAGCGGCATGTTTTTCCCAGCAATAAAAATGGCCTTAAACACTCTTTTTTTTTTTTTTTTGTACGCCGTGGAAGCGGGGTAAAATAGCCGCAGAGAAACGCGAAGGAAATGTCTGGCGCACCGAGCGCGAAGGAGGAGGCAACAAGTCGGACGGGTTCGTTGGTCGATGTCGCCGGTTGTTCTACCAATTCGTACGGGGGGGAAACGGGAGAGGACGGCAAGGTGGCTTCACCTCCGCTCCCGCACTCGCGTTTCTCCGCTTTCCCCCGACGCCGTCGGCGCCCGGTTGACACCGGTTTTACTACCCGACAAAACCGTCTTCCTTTTAGGACTGGTTCACACATTTGCATTGGGGCGAGAACGACTGCGTCGCGAAACCGCTCGATCGCGACCGCTAATGGTGGAAGAACGCAGTGGCGCCTTGTGTCGGGCAGCCACGGAACACTTCCGGCCTGCGGACTGTTTTTACCCAGCGTTCTTTCATGGAGGCTTGGAGAGCAGGGAGTCGAACTCGAGTCTCGGCCGAGCACCGACCCTATACAGTCGTGTCCAGTGTGCGTCCCGCGTGGAGCCTTCGATATTTACGTACGCCGAAAACAGAACTTCGTTATTAAGGCGCCAAATGCTTTTCAACGCTACCCGCCAATCCCAAAACTTTGTCCGTCCGTCCCGTCCGTCCGTCCGTGGCTTTCCCTCTAAATTTAGCGGGGAACTCGATATCGCGCGACCTGTACACAAATTCCGTTTCTCGGCTAAATTTAGTGCCAAAATCGACGTCAGGTGACGACGTCACGGGACATGCAGACCAATTCGGTTTCCCCGCTAAATTTAGCGGGAAAAGTGACGTCACGTGACCTATACATCAATTCAGTTTTCCCGCTAAATTTGGCGGGAAAGTGGCATCATGTGACGTCACCCGACGTGGCGTGACCTATACCCCTTGGGGAAATTGTCGTCACGTGACCTATATATAATATATATATATATATATATATATATATATATATATATATATATATATATATATACACGCGTCAACCCACTTTCCGCTAAATATAGCGGGAAACTTCACGTCTCGCGGCCAAAACCATCAATTCCGTTTTCCCTCGCTAAATTTAGCGGGAGAAAATGGATGTCATATGGCACCTACACTCCCATTTAGTTACCCGCTAAATTTAGCGGGAAAAATTGGCGTCTCGCGACCCAGACGAAAATTCTGTTTCCCCGCCAGATTTAGCGGGGGGAGGAAATCGACGTCACGTGACCCGTACAGCCGTTCAGTTTAACCCGCTATTCCCCCCCCCCCCCCCCCCCCCCCCCCCCTCCCCCCGATTCCCTAT